TGATGTTTAAATCAGTTAATGTATGTTGGTTATTTAGGTCACACATAGGTATTAACTGTCAATATTTATAAGTAATGTAAAAACTTTCATTCTTCAATATAACCTATGTAACAACACTTTTTTTTTTTTGTACTCTGATCATAGCTATACTTGAGGGTGAGTAAGAGCTATTAATCACCTACCCTGAACTAGGAATTATGCCAGGTACCTGAAATATGAAGATGAATTAGATAATATTCTTCCTTTTAGGGAAAACTGAGTAGACATGATACATTGTTATACTACAAGATGTCAAATTCTAATGGTATAGTTTTACTTAAATTGTTATGAACTCACAAATAAAAGAGGGCCAATTTTTCAAAGATGGAGGAAGGTCAGAAATTTTTTACATGGCAGATTACTTTTAAGCATGCATGGACCAATATGTACCAAATACTCCAGCAAATAAATGTCGCTCAGGGTTAATATCCAACAACATTATTCTTCAAATCTGGAGATTACAGGCAAACAATTTTGAACAATAAAAATGAGGGCAACTGTCTTAGGAAATACATCATCAAACCAAAGAGTAGTGGGTAATGAAGGAAAATGACAAACAGAACACTGCGTACAAATAACATCAGCATCAGAGTGATGGATCAGAATGTAAATAATGTATGCCCCAAAAGTGTAGAAATAGTACCTCTTATAATAAGAAAATAAGGGTACAGGTGATGTAAACTTAGTAATTGTTTTATTAGTACTAAGAATCAAAGAATGTAAGTCAAAGCCAATAAATCAAGATCAAGTACTAGACATTTAATCATAATTAAAAAATAAGCATTTAAAACCCATTAATATGAAAGTAAATTGGGAGAAAATAGAAATATTCCTTTTTAAAATCAGTTTATGTAGGGTACTAATAATTATTTTTATTTTTTATTTATTTTATTTTGTTTTTTTTTAATTAATAAATTTTATTTTTATATTCCCCATACAATTTCAACCCCGGAAATATAGGTCAAACATATTACCTAAATTTAAAAGCAGAGAGGTGGTCAATGGAAGAAAATATAAAATTTTCTAAATAATAGAAAGAATTCCAAAAAGGTATTTCCTTACCCTGAAATGCCAGGGCTCTACCAGAAGTTAGAAAAAGGTAAGGAGCAGATTATATCCATGAACCTCCAAAGAGCTCAGTCTTGCCAAATGTCAGACTTTCTGTTATCAGAACTACAGAGAAAACATTTCTGTTATTTTAAGCTTTCCAGTTTGTTTTAACTTGCCATGGGCAACCTTAGGAAACTAATATGATACATTAACTTAAAAATCAATTCACATAGTAAGCAATCTCACTTATGAATACAAGTAGAACTATTTCAAGCACCATTCCAGTAAAATGAAGTATATCACACAAGAAGTCATTCCAGGAATGCTTGGATGGTTCAATGTTAGTAAAACAGTTATCTTAAACTGGATCATATGAAATTATCTTTTGTTTGTCTTACATTTTTTTGATCAAAGCAATGTCGTATGGTTAAATCCGATTTAATTTTCAATGATGAGAATCACCAATACATATGCATGTCATATCTGCTGGTAATTACCTATTGTTGGTTTATTGATGACCCCCTATTATTATCATAGTTGTCCATCATTGGATAAAATATAAGCTACCTAATGAAATTCTAATTTCAGAGAAATTATAAATAATTCCTCAGTGCAAGTATGTCCCACGTGATAATGGACACACATTATACTAAAAATAATCTTTGTTTATCCTAAATTCAAATTAGTTGGCCATTCAATATTTCAATTTACTAAACTTGGCAACACAAAATATAGCAAGTGTTGAGAATGAGCATCAATGATGTGGGAGTTTTTACAGTAGTTATAACACACAACAAAGATTTACCGTCCGTTATTTGTATACATAATCCTGTAATATCAAGGATAAATACATAGGTATAATTTCTTCTCAGTTTCTCTATACATGCCATTCAGTACCCCCACTTTCTCTTCATAAATAAGGTTGTTAAAATATTTCCATTTGCATTAATCCATTTGCTTCTAAATTCCTGTTCCAACCTTAAATAATCCTCTCATTCCTTTGTGGATCCAGATGGGTCCCTATGCATCCATCTGCCAGTCCTGGCAAACAAGTCCCTCAAAATAATTTTCCCTGCCTGGGGTAGTTAAATATATATTAGGTGAGCATAAACATGAAACTATGTGTCCACATAAACAGCCTGCACCTTAGCAGGAGGGAACCGAGTGTTAAGACAAATAATGTCTAACTTGCCAAGAGAACTAGTAAAAAATGGAAAAAGAGATGCCTGTCATCTTGAATGCACAGCTTGACAGTAATATCTGATAGGGTAGCAGTGGCCAAAACTACCTCCACAAATGTCATCTAGAGGCAGAAAGATGTGAATAAATGAAGATGTATGTTTCATGACCCCGTGTGATCATGAGAAAGATATGTTAAGCATCTCTAGTAAAGTTTATGTATTCTGTATATTTTTTTTAAGTTTTAATGCCTCAAAAACTCTGTTTGAAAAAAAGAAGCATGGTCATTATACAGTATCAGATGCAACGTGCTGACTATCAAAAATTACATTAATTTTAAATGAACAGTAGACCTGGCAAAAGAGCTGTTTCCATGCTGAATGTGCCCGGAATCTGACAATTTGTGCTTCTCTGAGCACAGGGACCACATCTTTCCATCCCATTCATGACGTGCAGCAAAGTTTATACTGTTTCTAGGAAAGGTTATTTAAATCAGAGTACAATTTATTGAATTAGTCAAAGATGGATTGTCATTCACTGATGCTGAGAAAGGAGTCAAGCAAAGAAAAAAGTACAATAAATCTGTGGGTCCAGGTAGGAGTTATGCAACTGCATAAGATGGATATGAATTTTGGCAATTCATTGCCAGATTATATTCCCTCAAACAGAAAAGGCCCCCAATTGGAGGGTCAAAAAATTCATAATCAATTAACCTTTCTTTAAAATATGTAAATCTACCGTGAATAGTATTTTATCATTTACAAATGCATATACATTGTGTAAGTGGTCCACTTTTGAGAATTTGTGTTTTTAAGGTTTTTAAATTTCTTCTGTCTCATAAAGACTTGTCAAATATTCTAATGTCTCATCCATGTCCCTGAGGAGTTTCTAAATTCTAGGTTCTTAATATTTGATTTAGACGTGAAGTGGTAGTTTTTTGCAATCTCCTGTATCTGGAACTCTAACTTAAGGGATTGGAAGAGATAAGTGAAATTATCATTATATGACTGTTGGCTGTTTATAAAATCCTGTTAAGGACACACTTTCTATTCAGCATTTCCTTGACCTTCCTTAGGGTATAGGAAAATATCTGGAATGGTCAGTCTCTGATCCTGCCAAGAAAAAATGAGGCAAGAACAAAATGGAAAATTGCAAAGTCAGTGGCAGAAATAGGTTGGAAAAGATCTATTCTGCTATCACAGATACTGATCAGGAAGGCCAGCTTCCATAGCTACTTCACCAGGTTCAGAAGGAAAGGCTAGTCTCGGGATCATTTGCACTAACATCACCATAAAAATTTTGATGTTATTAATCCAGAATCATTTTGGATTTCCAAGCCTATTATGTATGTTATGGTTAACACTCTAAAATAATCAGCTTTTATCTGAAATATATTTGTTCTTGGACAGATAACTGTTCACATGCACCCCTATGTCTGATTTTATATTCTTATTAATTTCCATAATATCTAGTATGTCTTACAGCACTAAACACACAATGCTGAAAATGACTGAAGACTATTTTGTATTAACCAAAGACCATATATATATATATATATTCCATGGGAAAACATCACACTAAACTTATACATTGTTGTATGTTAAGTCAAATTCATGATTTCAGATTCTAGGAAAGGTTATTTATTCTAGGAAAGTAATAAGAGAAACATACATGTTGGTTGGAAAAATTTTCAAAAGCAAGGAAACATTAAAAATATGTAAGAAAGAATTAATGTAGACTAAAATTATTTTTAAAAATGGGATAAACAAAAAGAAGACCATAATTAAAAAAAACACAAAGTTTATATTATGAAAACATCAGGATATAATAAAGGAAATAAGAAAACAAAACATGAATTGATATTACCTCCAAAACAGAAAATACAGTTAAACAACAAAAATTAAATTCAAATGAATTTAATTTAAAATGAATTTAATTTAAAAGTTCAAGAAAATATTGTTGAATTGAAAACTTAAAAACTTATCAGATTTTAAAATAAGATCCCAAGTTTAAAACCAGCAAGGTGAAAATATGAAGATGAAATATAATGATTCATGATATGAAATAAATTGTTTTTAAAAATGCAAAAAAAATTAATCTTAGTTTTAAAATTGAACAGATTGATGAAAAAAAAATTGAAAAAATACTTTGAAGAGAAGATAGCTGAAATTATTATAAAAAACTAAAGAGTCTCCAAATAGCGATATTTGCTTGTCTGTGGGGACTATCCCTAGCAGTCTTATAATTATGGTGGCAAAATCAGTTGATTCAGTTGTGACGTTCCATGATTTTTGCTTCAGATGTTGTGATAAACTTCATATTTTATTTTTATTTTTTTAAAGATTTATTTATTTATTTATACAAGCACTGGGTACAGTCAGAAGCGCGGGAGGGTGAGAAAATGCACCAGAGCCAGAGTGGGGAACAGAATAGGCAGACTGACGAAGTACACTGCTGAGGGGAGCAGCGGGGGCGGCAGGTGAGGTCTGCAGCGCCATGTGGGACCCTCGCCGGCGGCCAGGGATTGAACCATCGCTGCAGAGGCTGTGGGCAGCTTTGCAGCCCAGAGCTCAACCGCTGCGCCACCAATAAGGGAGGCCCCATATTTTATTTTTAAATGAAAAGGAGATGGACTTAAAACCATCCATATTAGTTCTTTTCAAAAATAGGAAAAAATGAGAAGTGATAGTAATCATAATATTGAAAATCTTATTTTTTTTTTTTTCCCACAGCCACTGAACTATGAGAAAAAGAAATCTTACACCCTCAACATTGAAGGAGCCAATACACATCTTGATTTTCGATTTTCTCACTTGGGACCTTTTAAAGATGCCACTATGCTGAAGATAATCGTTGGCGATGTGGATGAACCCCCACTATTTTCCATGCCTTCCTATGTCATGGAAGTCTCTGAAAATGCCAAGATTGGGACGGTTGTTGGCACAGTTATGGCACAAGATCCCGACAGTGCTAACAGCTTAGTAAGGTACAGTACACTTCAACCTTTTAGACATATAAAGACTCGTTTTGCCTCTTGATCTTACAGCGACTTAAAAAATGCTTGAAATATTTCTTTCCATGTTATTTTTCTGTTGATATATTTCACAATATTAACTGATTCTCTGATAAGGAACCAGAGAGTTTCTGTCAAATTAAGAGTATAGCAATCACCATAAAGGTATTGGTAATATTTCCACATGATGTGAGCATAATTGGCTAGAATTTGGGGGCAGAATTATTGAATTACAAACTAGAGAATCTTTGATGCTTAGTGATAGGAAATATGAATAGGATTTAAGGATAATGTCTATCTCTGACTTCTGATTTGGCCATAATAGCGGTGTGTGTTTAGGAAATCCTCTACCATTATTTGTAAGGAAATGAATTATTTATTTTTCATATTAAATGTTTATTTTTACACTTTTTATTTTAATTTTTGGAATTACGGTTTTGCACTTCCACATTGTACATGTTCCATTCACCTTCCGGAAAGCGACCTGTGCAATACCCCATCTGCCTCCCTCCTCCAAGCCCTTCTTCACTCCCCTGTTTCCTCTGTGACCATTATATTCTTATTATCTGTTCTCAGTGTTACTGTGAGAACATGCAAAACAATATGCATGGAGTGCTAAGCGCAGGGGTGTGTACCTAGTAGTCACTTAATTAATGCTAATGTATTCAGGGCAGCATGGAGCAGTGACTTAGAGACTGGACTCTGATTCTGGAATTCTGCAATCTTGACATTCTAGCTGTGTGATTTCATGTTCAACATTGCTGCATTTCAAATTCCAAGATTATGAACAAAGGATAATAATGCTACCTAAATATATTGATATCATTAATTAGATTGAAATAAAGCACTTAACACAATGCCAAGGACATAAGTACTCACTAAATCATATTTTAGTATTTCATGCTCTAGAGATCATTAAAGCTGTCTTTATATAATCGAAAGGTATTTAGTGACCTTGCTTTTATGTGCTTGGGTAATCCTAAGGCTCTATGAAGTTTGAAATCTTTAACAAATCTGTCTGCTTTGTCCCATTAAGTGCTTATTCTCACTCTCTTTAGTTCTCATCCATTTTAAAAAAGCTAATATGGTAAATAGTCTCTTCAGTATCTGCATAGTGTTGTAATGATTCCCAAATTATTTTTACATAAATACGGCTGTTTTGGATTTTTTTTAAATGGCGACCATGTCCATCCTTGGAGAGGAACAATTTTTGGAGCACATATGTACATATTCAGCAATCCTTCATCTGTGAGTGCTAAAACAGTGTCCTGTCCATTGGGACCCACCCTGTTACACTGAAAGCAGGAGCTGGACATTGCTTGAAGAAGCAGGGTAGGCAAGGTGTTCAGAATAATTTGCATAAAGCCAAGTGTGCAAACTGCCCTCTAAAGAAGGAACTGACGTAGACATGAAGATGCTTAGTTGGCCAAGCAGAGGAACACTCACTCCATTCCACGGAATGACACATTTCAATGACATGTGACACTCAGTAAGTAAAATTGGTCTGATCATATTTAAAACTAAAATATTATAAAGGCTATGGGTAACTACGATTGGTCTTTACCTAAAGGAACTAACGGATTTTGAAAATGAAAATATTTGATGAAACTTGGTGAGGCTTTCTTTTGAAAATTAAACTTAAACTTTGATATGAAGGATATATTCCATAATATGCAATTAAAATTTTTGGAAATGACATAAATGTTTTAAAGCGATATTGGAAGCAAGCTATGATATGCCAACACTCGAACACACATATACACACGCACACACAGAACAGTTCAAAATCCACTGGAAAGAAAAATCTGAAAAAAAAAATTTACATCCTTCGATAAGGGTGATAAGGTAGATATAGATGTCCACAGAGAAAGTGTTCTGAAGGGAATGAGAGGAGCAAGTTTGAATTGAGACTCAGAACCTGGTTTAGAGATTAGAATTTTGAAAGACAAAGGGGAGAACTGTGCAAGTTGCTCAGGTTACCTGTGAGGAAATAGCAAGTAAAGAGGTTGGAGAGAAACTAGAGATAGATCATGGATGGTTTGTGTTAAGCTAACATATTTGAAACTTATCTTAGCAGCATTGTCAGTGAGGTGAATGACACGAAATGTGTAATTTCAGTGGTGAACTTGATGTAGTGTATACACATGTTGATTTTTAATGATGCACACTTGAAATTTACATAATATCATAAAGCCATGTTACTTTGATCAAATTAAAACAAAAAATAATTTGTCAACATTGATGGGAAGGGGCGCCCTGGTGGCGCAAGGGGTTAAGTTGCAGTACTATGAAGTTATCAGCAGCCACTGCAGCATGAGTTCGATCCCCGGGCAGGGAGCTACCCACATGGCACAGCAGACCTCTCCTATCTCCCTGCTGCTCCCCTCAGCAGTGTATTTCAGTAGATCCGCCTGTTCTGTTGCCCACTCTGTCTCTGGTGAATCTTCTCCCCCCTCACACTTCAGGCCTATACCCCAGCTCTTGTATGCATAAATAAATAAATCTTAGAAAAGGAAAAGTCAGGAAGGTTTACATTTCAAGATATGCAACAAGTTTTCAAAACTCTGTGAAATCTAGAATAGGTACGCTAACATGGTAGACTTGAGAATAACTGAGGCCAAAGACAAATTTCTTTCACTGCTGTTCCATGTACCCCACATACACAAAAACACCCTTTCCTCATAGAACAGTGGTTCTCACTCAAGGGCAAACCCCCAGGGGACATTAGTTGACCTCTGAAGACATGTTTGGTCGCCACCAGTGGAAAGAAATTCAACTTATCCTCAGTAGGCAAGGGCGCAGATGATATTGAACAGCCTAAATTAACAAGGGGCCCCCTACAATAAAGGATGATCTGGTTTTAAATGTCTATGGTTAAGCTTCAAAAACCTTGACACAGAATAAAAGCAAACAGGATGGTAAATTGGTAAAACTGGAATGCTAATTATACTCATAAAAATCAATTCTGAAAAGATAATTTTGGAAAATCCATACAAGATTGTCTGATTCACATACATGCAAAGTCATGTGAATGTTTCCACATATGCATTTTGTATACTAAAAGAAATTATTTATACATAATTGATTGTTCCATAGCATTGCCCACTGCCTCAGTAATTGTTCCAAATTATAGGGAACATGTCGTGAACACATGCTGTGGTACATACATTCTCCCAGTTGTTGGGATGTAAAGATGATTGTCTCTAAATGCTAATGCCGAGAAGCACATATCCATTAGCATCTGCATTATTCTTTCTGCTTTGTTTTGGTTAGACAACCACAATGAATTCTTCTGAAGCTGCCTTAAAATAATTAGACTCCATAGCTACTGTTTGGGGGCATAATTTACATAATATTTATTCTTGATTTTAATAAAAATGTGTCATTCACATGGGCCTCTAGGTGCAAACAGTGAATAAAAAACAGAAAACATTAACAAACACAAAAGCAAGCCTCATACTTCCACCTTCTCTGGGACCAAATGTTTGTACTAATTAAGAAAAGCACATTGAAAAGATGAACCTTGCAGTGTGCCCTGAAAAGCAATTAACTCCAAGTTTGTAGAATTGATAATGAAAGGGAGTTTGAGTTTCACAGGCATTTGTGAAAAGCTTCCTGACTTCAGTCTTTTGTATTTCAATTTTCTAAACGATTAGTGAGACTCTTCAGATTTCTAAGAGCATCCTATGTCTAGTTTTGTCTCTTTCAACTCAAAACAAGAATGTGCAATTTGCAACAATATAATCATCACCTTTTTAAGAAGCAAAATCAGAACCAGGCTATTTCCCAGTTGTGAGGAAACCCTTGATTTAAATAGGCTGTACTTACTTGCTGGTATGCTGCAAATGGAATTCAGGAACTTCCTGAGAAATGAGCAATCCTATGTTGCAACTGAGCCACTGGAAGCTTTCGGGTGTGATTTTACATCCTATGTCTATTAAATATAGTGGTCTCTCATTTTTTTTTAAGAAATATTTTTCATTGAGTTAATATCAATTGGCATCGTTGTTTCCATAACAGAAGTGTACCCTATGGAAAACAGACCCAGCAGTTCCATTTTTTGGTATCTACCTGAAGAACACAGTAACACTAATTCAGAAGGAAACTTGTTCTCTGTGTTCATGGCAGCACTGTTTATAATAAATAGGATATGGAAAAAGTCTAAAGACTCTAAAACAAATGAATGGATTAAGAAGACTTTGTCATATATATATATATATATATATATATATATATAATATATATATATATACACACACACACACATATCGGTATGTGTATATGTGTGTGTGGAGTACCACTCAGCTATTAAAAATGATATACGAGCCATTTGCAGCAGTAAGGATGGAGCTGGAAGGTGTGCTACTAAGCAAAATCCACCAGAAGAAGAAAGATAAAGACCAGATGGTGTCACTTATGTGAAACAGAGAAAAACAAAACAAGAAGTCAGATAAAGCCTGATGAAAAAACTAAACCTTGAAACTCTGAGCTTTTTATCACATTCCAAAGACCCTTTTAATAACCCTAGAGAATCTGTATTGATTTTATTATTCTACAGATGAGAAAACTAAGAAATGAGATGTGAAAATTAAGTAATTTGCCAAGTTTACATAGTGATAAAGTGGCAGATCCAAAATTTAAATACAATTTTGTTTTACTATAAAACCTCCCATTTTTTATGTCACAATGCACTGCCTCTCGTATATTTCAACTAATAATTTTTTAAAACCGTTTTTTTGCAAAGTTCAATGTAGAATATGATGAATCCTTGACATCTTCAAGAAGCCATTGATTAAACATGGTCACCTATTTGTGTGGGTGCATTTCATACACTGGGATAAAGGGGTGCCAAAGATAGCCAAGTCTCATTTAGTTCTATAGCATCTCTGGAACAATACTGTTCCTAATTGTTGAGTTTCTTCCTATTGTAAAGCAAATTATGTCTACTACTTGATTTGGTTCAATAATGTGAA